CAAATTTATTAAATGAAATTCGAATATAATTTTTATAATTAAAAGAATTATAATAAATATAAATTTATTTTTATATATTTTTTTTTAGGATTTAAATAAAATATATATTATAAATTAAAAATATATTTTTTTACGAAATATATATTTATTTTTATATCAAATATTATTAATTAATTTATTTGTTATTTTTTTTAATTAATTATATTATTTAATTTATAATTTTTAAATATTTTTTGTTTTAATAAAAAGCCTTAAAGAAATAATTATTTAAAACCAAAATTTTTAATTTTTTTTACTCTAAATTAATTGTAATAAATAATTTTCATAAAGGGAAGATTACAAATAGAGGTCAAATTTGTATTATAAATTAAAAAAAATATGATTAAATAAATTTTTATTTAAAAGAAAATAATTTAAATTATTAAACCCTAATAAAAAAAATTGAATATACTCAAATTTATAAATTTAACTATATAATATTAATTTAAAATTTGAATAAATAAAAAATATAATTAAATTAAAAAACACATAATTAATAGTAGTGAAATGTATAAAGATATAGACAATAAAGAAAATTTTAATATATTATAATAAATTAGAAGAACATCAATTTAAAATAATGTATCTAAAACAGTTAAGAGGGCCTCAGTTGTAAAAAAAAATTCATTAGTAATTAATGATCCTGTACTTATTATTATGAATAAATACAATTTATAAAGAGTAGATGTAGACATGGTTAATTTAAACTACAAATAAATAACAAATAATTAATAAGGAGTTAATCTTTAATTTTATTAACTTTTAGAATTGTTAAAAAGTAAAAATTAAAAATAAGTTTATAAATAAATTAAAAAAGAACTGTAATTTAATGTTGACGAAAAATTAAAACAATAAATATTCAAAACTTTAGAAACTTTTGATATTAAGTAAATTAGTATAGAAAGTGTTTACACAATAGTTGCATAATTAAGATAGGATTAAAGAAATTAATAAGAGGAATAAAATTCTTAAGATAAAGAAGAGGATGAAGATGAATATCGTATTATATTTTTATCTACTTTTTTTTTTTACTGTAATTTTTTTTTTAGTTGGCTCTTTTTAATTTTTGGGAGGCAATAATGATTAAAATAGTAAAATTTAAAAAAGCAAAATAATTTAAATTACAAAATAAGAATTCGATTTATGCATTAATATAGATAACTTTGTTCAAATTTTGGAAGAAGGAGATTAAGAATAATTAGATTATAAAAATTTCAAAGCATTATTTTAATCATAAAAATAAAGAAAGAAAATTTTTTCTCAAGCTTAATCTGTTTTGTCAGTAATTTAATAAAATATATATAATTATTATCATTAGAATTTTATTTATTTTGCTTTAATATAATTATTAAAATAACTTTTTTTAGTTTTTAAATCAAAGAAATGCACAGGAGAATTATAATCCTATTAGTAATCCTAAATTTTTGGAATTTGAATAAAAATTTTATTGATTATTTGTAATACCTATTTTATATTTTTGTTAAAATAAATATTATATAATTTACATATTTTAAATGTTATTTATTAAAATATATTAAGATTATATATTTATATATTAAAAAATAATATAACAATATAATTACTTTTATATATTATTTTTTTCATTTAAAAATTATAAAAAGCTTTAATTTTTTATATAAATAAAAAACAATTAAAATATATAATTGAATAAAAAAAATTAACAATAATAAAAAAACTCAGCTATTTTATATATAATTTTAATCATAATACAACGAAATCAACTTAATAGCAATTTCTACGCACCCTTTAGCATTATTAAAAGTAATATCGTAAAGTAATTTAATAATATCCATTTTACTTTAACAAAATTTTATCCAATTACATCGTCTTTCTTGAGCTGTTTTAAGCATTTTGTTAAGCGATTAAAGTAAAAGAAGGAGTTGATCATAAGTAATAGGTTTAAAAAAGTTCGAATTATTATAAATTCTAAAGATAATATCATATTCTTTATGATAAGAAATTTTATCTCTAATATCATAATAGTTATTTTAAGTTTTCATTAATAATTATAATAATCTTTTAGTTCTAGAAGGGCAAATAAAAGAAGTTAAAGGAGAAACTAAAGACTCACTAAGGAAGACACACCAAGAATTTTAATTAGGAATGTTGATTTATTTATCTAATTCAAGTAAATAATAAATGAAGCTCATTAAGTTTGTAAATATTATTTAATCAAACATTCCTATTAATTATGGGAGTTTTTGATTAAACTCCTCTGGATTTCTGAAACCTTCAGTTATTATTTCTGTAGGTGTTTATTTTAGGATTTATTTAGGAGTAACTTAATATATTTCTCCGTTAGAATATTCTATTTTGAGTGAGCTTTTATTACTCTCGAAATGTTTAGTTAGATTTTAAAAAATAATATATATTTTTTCGATTAATGAATCTTTTGTTTTTAATTCAAAAGCCTTAAGTTACTTTTTAAACTCTTCTCTAAAATTTTTAAAACTAGTATAAAATTATTTCTAGTTTTTGGATTTTTCGTTTCCTTTTGTTATTTATTATTAACTATTTTAATTTTATGGAGGGCTTTTAATTAATTCGCATAATATTTTTGTTGACAAGATAACTGTTTTTAAAAGTCCTTTGTCTTATTTATTCAAAAAATCTGCATTTATCATATTTATGAGAGCAAAAAATGTATTTAATAATGATTGAGCTTATCTGCTTATTTATTATTGTAAAAATGGTTATATTTTTATTAGACTAATTATTAATTGTAAATAAATTATCAAAAGTTCATTAGAAAGGGATTTTTTGGAAATTATTTTTTGTGAAAAATATTAGACTAAATCTGTAGATATATCGAATTAATATAAAGGTAATTTTATTAAAGAATAATTTATTTATTCTTCAATTTCTTCTTCTTCCATTTAATTTTTTATTTTTTTATCTGAATTTTATTACTTTTTTTTTTATTATTTTTTTAAAATTAAATAAGTATATTTTTACACTCTTTTATTCTTCCTCATCTTCGTTTTCTTCTAAATAATTATAATCTTCATCTTCTTCATCCCAATTTTTTTTGCTATTATTTTCTTCATTATTTTGTTAATTCTAGGCCGGATTTCCTCCATTTTTTTCTTATAGACTTATTTATATAACCAGTTTCATCATTTCTTCTTCATTTAAATTTTCAAATCCTTCTAAATATGCATCACCAGCCATTTGTAAACCTAAATTTCCCATTTCTTCTAAATAATTTTGTGATTTAATGTCATTATTTCTATTATCAATACTTAGATCTTATTATGAAGATTTTTTAGTTTTTTTTTGTTTTTCTTGCTTTCTTCGATTTCTAAGTCTTAATAATCATTTAAATTTTTAGCTTTATAAGTGAAAAGATTAAAAGCAAAGTCTAAAGTTTTAGGTTATTACCTTTTAAATTCTTCCTAAAAAATAAAACATTCTGTTCTAAGAATATTTTAGAAAAACTTAACAAAATTCATAATTTTATTTCTTAAATTAGAATCTATTAATTCATTAAAGAAATATTATATCAAATTGAAATTTTCTTAACAATTTTAGATCAGTTTTTCATTATAAACAAAATTCTATTTTTTATTTTTTTTTATATTTTTTTTGTTGTTTAAAAAAAAAAATACTTCAAATGTAAAATTTTAATTTCTTTATAAATAAGAAGCTTTGTTTTTAAGAAATTAATAATGTAAAAGGAAAAGTTTTAATAACTAAAAAATAATATTTTCGGCGACTTTAATATCATAATCAGCTTTAATAAGTACAAAAAAATGTTTTATTATCAAATTCAATATTTTTGGGTATAAAGCGAAAATAGCGAATATCAAAGTAACTTTTTTTTGAGAAATTTTAACCAAATTTTCGACAATAAAGTTTAATTCATCAATTATATAATTTTAATTCTAATCAATAAAATGCTCGATTCTCGACTATATTTTAAAAGTAGAATACTACATTTTATGAGTGGGGATAATTTTTTCACTTGGATTAATTATTTGGTATAAATTAAGAATGGTTTTTAAACATCTTTTTACACTTGCTAATAAATATTTATTATTCTGACCTTATATTTAAGGTTAAACTAGAACTGTTTTTAAACCAAATGAAAAAGCTTTTAATTTATCCGAAAGTTCTTCTGAAAATATTTTTTAGGATTATTAAAAAAGATTTAGTTAAATAGTTAACGCATCTAGATCGTTAATGAAATTTCTTACTTCGCTATTTTCAACATTTTAATTCAAAAAAATTCTTCTTTTAGTAAAATCAACGGGAAGTATTATTGAATTATTAGAAAGTAAAGAATCTAGTTTTGAGTTTATTTTCTCTTTCTTTTCACTTTCTTCTTCTTCTTAAGGGACTAAATGTTAAGAATTACTTACAGGTTAATTATTATTAATAATTTTAAGGGAACATTTCAAACTTTCTATTTTTTCGGCTAATTAAAACTAAGAAATAGTAACTCCGTAAGCTTCAATAGCAATTATCTTAAGTTCGTTATGGGGCGAGTTTTTGATAGAAAAAGGTGAAGAGGAAAATAAAGAAAAAGAAATTTAGTTTTGGATATAAGAATATATGATTTCCAATACAGACATTGATATATCAAAAATTTTTTTATCATCGCTTGTAGCGTTCATTATTTTTACTTCTCTATTAAAAAGTTTTAACTTATAAATCCCTTAACCGGTATTTGGGGGCATATACATTCGAACTCTTATTCCTGTAACTAAATATTATTTATTAAGGATTTTTAAAACGAAATCAATATGTTCGTTTTTAGTAAGGATTATTTAAGAATATGATGTATTTTTTAATAATTAGTCACAAGAAACTCCATTTGCGTCCAAATGAATGTCTGCTTCGCTTCTTAATAGAGTTGAATTTTCCATAAAATTAACTAGTATATTTTGAGGAGTTTTAGATAAATCTTGTATTTTTAGCTATTCTTTTAATTGTTTATAACTATTGTCATTTTCAAACGGGTTTGTTGATTTTTTTTTATCTTCTTATTGAATTTATTATTATTATTATTATTATTATTATTATTATTATTATTATTATTATTATTATTATTATTATTATTATTTTATTGAAACATTTTCCTTTAGAATTTTTTACATTTCTATAACAGAATTTATACTATTTTAAAGTATTCCAAAAGCATTCATTGAGCCATCTTCGTGCACACTTAAGACTACAAAAATATTGTTTTTATTATTTTATGTTTATTAAAATACACAATAACCTTCACATTTTTTATCATCTTCTATTTTCGGAGATACTTAAAGATGCTGTAATATAATTTAATTGTTTGTCAGTTTTAAAACGCTTAAATAACCGCTATGTACAGAGTAATTATTTTAATTATTTGCATCTCTTAAACAGCATATATTAATTGACTAATTCTCATCTATATATACTTCATTCATATTAGTCATTATTTCGAAACCTTTTTCAATAAAGCTGACTTAAGAGGATTTTATTTCTGATTAAGTAGGCCTAAAAGAATAGCAATTAGTCACTTTGTAATTTTTAAAGTCGATTTTTCCAAAAATATTGATATTATTTTTATATGAAACGTGCAATATATTTGATTTTAGTGAATAATTAATCGACATGCAAATTTAGTTTTTCTAGATGAACTCTGAAGGGTACATAAGGTAAGTAAAAAGTGTCAAATCTTCTTTTTAATTAACAGAAAACTCCTAGTAATATATTTTACCATCTGCACAAGCTACTAAAAGTAAAAAGTCAGTACTTGTTTTTGATATAATTTAAAAGTCTTTGAAAATTCCGCTCTATTCATTTGCATTAAACTTTATTATTTATGAAGATTGAGCATTATCAATATTAATTTGGTAAAAACGAATACATTTTAAATTCATTGCTAATAGATATTGTTCACTATTTGGTAACCATTTTATTTTATTTAAATACTCAGTGAAGTTCTTTGGTTATAAGTTTATTATTTTTATAGCTTTCGATTCTTCATTTAACTTAAAAATTTGTATTTGGGAAATCACACGACCACATACGGCCACTACTAATGGATTTTTGGGTGAAAACTGTACATGGAAAATTATAAAGTCTACCTAATATTAATGTAATACTTATATTTCTCCTTAAGGAACTAAAATGTACTTATTGTAATCGTTTTCTTTTATATTATCACTTATTTTTAGGATTAGTTTTTGTTTGTCTAATATCATTACTTTCATTCCGTTGGCCACAATTATTGTATTTTCACTATTGTAATCTATCGGGGAGCGAATTATCATTGGGGCACTTGGTTAAAGATTAAAAGCTCCTTACATTAAGAAACTGTTTTTTTCTACAGTATAGTCTTCTCGGACTGTCATATCTAGGATACCATTTTTGTAGAGTTTTGTGAGAATCTTTCCTTAGGTTATTTCTTAGATTTATTTGAGTTTTATTTCAGGAATAAACTTGAAGTCAGTTTATGTTTGTAAAGATTTATTTGCTAAAGAAAATTTGCGAGAATTTTTTTTAGTTGAAGTAGCAATTTAGTTCCAGTTTTATAGTATGAAGTCTAGCTTTTATTAAGAATATGTAAAAATATTGTTTAGTAGGTTTTAGGATATGTATTAATTTTGGAATATGGATTATAAGAAAATATCTATTTTGGAGTTAGTATATATTTATTGCTATAATTATTATTATTATTATTTTGATTGTGTTATTTTTTCATTAGTTTAATAAAACTATTTTATAGGAGAAGATTATATATTGTCAATACTTAAATTAGATTCTTCTTCAGAAAATTCGTTGTTTTTGATTTATTTTTCTTCTTTCTTTATACTAGGGAATATTTCTTTATTATTATTTTTAATCGATTTTTTAGAAGTTTCAGAATCACTTAAGAATAAATTTTCTTAATTATTTTAATTTATGGTATTATTTTAATTTTTGTCTTCTTCCTCTTCTTCTTATTCTTCCATTTCTATAAAATCATCGTCCTCATTTTCTATTTCTTCCTATTCTTCTTATTCTTCAATAAAACTGTTTTTTTAATGTTTTTCTAAAACACTTCGTCCTAACGCAAACATGTTACTATTGTTGTCTTACCTATAGAACTCGTAATTACTGTTAGTTTCTTTCGTTTTTAAATAAAAGTCTATTAATTCTGAAGGAACTTCATTACTTTCGTTTAACATTAATTACTCGAATTAAAAAATTCTATCTTTATAAATATTTTTTGGGCTTTCCTTTTTTTTTATTTCTTTCTCAGCTTTACAAATACCTAAAAAATACAAAATTATATTTAAAATAAATATATAACTAAAATATACCACTGGGACCTTTTTCTACACAATCACATGTTCCAGAACAGACTTTATGATAATAAATATCATGTTTATTATGGCAAGTAAAAGCACACCAGGAGCAAATGACATAGTTTTGCAATGCAATATTACAAGTGTGACATTTATAGAATATTTAATCGATGTGTTTTGATTAATATTTAACTAGAGTGCATGAGTTATAATTTTCTTTAGAAAAAAATGTTGAAGTTAATTAGAAGTATTTTTTTTCGTATTCTTCTAGTAATTATTCTTTAGAAAGTTCTGAGTTATCCTCACTTTTAATGAAATTAGGAGATATAATGCTTGTAAGTTCTTATTACATTTAGTTTTCCTTTTATTATTTTTATAAAATATCATTTTTTTCATTCTCACTAGTGTGTCTTAACTACAAAATTATTACTAAAAATATTTCTATGTAATATTTCTCACATAATACTTAATAGTTTTCAGCAAGAAAATTCAAGAAATTAAAACATCATTTATAAGCTCACAATAGTCTTTTTATTCATTTGTATAGTAAGAAAATATAAACAAAAGGATTTTTATTAAACACTCACAATTATTTTAAATTATCGTTGTTTTTTCTTCTATATTTTATTGTTACATTAGTATATATTTAGTTTCATTAATTAAAAATTATACAAATGAACATGATAGTTAGGATATACTTTTTATTAGTAGTTTACTATTATCAGTTTAATTATTTTTACATTCTTTCATTACAGTTTCTAGAAAAGACATAAATTAGGCCAAAACATATTTTTTTTCGTTTTCTTCTTTTTTGGATTATGAAAATTCACAATCTACTATAAAATTTTGGATTATTTAAGGCTCGTTTTAGAAAATAAAAAGAAGGTTTTTTAAAAAATTTTAACTGAAAATTTTTTTTGCTTCGAAAGCGCTTATAAGGAAATCTTACTTATTTTTTAAATCTTCTTATTATTAAGAGCTATTTGTATTTTTGAGAATTTCAGATAAAATTTGTTTATTTTATTAATTATTTTGACTATGATTTTTTTCAGAAAAATTTTGATTATCAGAAAATTCAAAACAAACTTTAACTAAATCAATAGTTTCTAACCAATTCGAATTTTCTTTTTTTGGATGTTAAAATATAAGTTATAAAAATATATTTTTTCCTTAAGAAAATAAATCATTAGGATAATAACTGAACACTTTTTTAAATATTTTTTTACATAAACTATAAAAAACAGGATTACCAATTGTTATATTATCGTTTTCTTAATTATTAGAATCTGGAAAAACATATAAAAGGCATAATATTTTGTGATTATTAATATTATTTTTGATATCAGAATATAAATAATGTATTATATTATAAATTGTGCTTTAATTAGTTTCTTTATTATCTTATAAGTAATTTGTTCTAATAATTAATTCTAAGAAGCTACAGGCTTTCAAATATTTAATAAATTTTTAAATGAAAAAATAAAAATTTGTTTTATTCTCAATTGTTTCTTAAATAAGTCTTAGTTTTCCAAAAGATAAAATATTAGTTTATTTTTTATTTTCTTAATTTAAAAGTTCATACATAACTATTTATTTAACGAATTATCCGAAAAATACTTCTTGTTATTCTTTTTATTTATTTTCTATTGATAAGAAATATTAGTCGACGAAAAAAAGCAATTCTTTAATACACATATTATATATTATATATTAATTGATATCTTGTTAGTTCTCATTAGTTTTTAAGTAGTAAACAGGCCAGAAGGCAAGCAAAAATAACTCGCCAATGTAAAACAAATTATTGCTTCCACCTTTTTTTACATTTTCAATAATTCTATTAACTTCTTTTTGTATTTTTTCGGTTGCTTTTTATAAAAAACCAACTTTTTTATCATCTTAAACAGAAAATAAA